GTCAACCTCTTGTTAAAGATGTTTTACACTTAATTAAAACAAATAGTTATTAAAGTGAAATCAGTGTTACCTCACAAGGCCTTGAGTCCTGAACTTTCCATTGAGAGAAAAAAATCGAACTTAAATGATGAATGTCAAGTTTATCCATGTTATTTAGCCTTAATACATATATTTAGATTCATATGTAGTTAGAGAAGTTCACTCGATTTTGTTAATCATTCACTACATTACCTCTAAATCATTCACTAAATCTTACCACATTCATTCTACAAAATCACAACACGGGTTGTTGTTTTTCTTGAAGTACTCTGACACAAGTATTTTTTTTACAATAGTCTTACAATAATCTAGCGGTAGCACAAATTATTATTTTTGGCTCAATTTTGAGGAGAGTTGTGATCGTTAATCAAACTATTGTGAGAGAGATTTAAAGTAAGCATGAAATGGAAGTTGCTATATTCTTTTTTTTCTCTATTGTGATGCATAACTGAGTAAAACAGCTTCTTGAACAAGACAAAAAGTTGGGAGGGATTTGATTTTTCTCCATTGAATATTGATTAATATGGATGGTTGTAGTTTGCTATAGCTGTGATGTCATGTGAGTGACAGGTTGTTCCGCCCTCGCGCCAAAAACATAGGAAAAAAATATTAAAAAATAGGTATATTCCATAAGAAAAATAGTTAGGTTTTGATTTCACGGTGACTTTAAGGCTGGAATACACCACACATGTTTTACAGTCTGGAAAAGTTGATGCTAGTTGGTGAAAGAGCCATTCTGCAGTTTAAAGTTGACCGATTTAACAGAAATATCATATTATGGACACACACTGATTAATGAATTATTTGTATGTTTTTGTATCCTAGATTGCATCCAGTCACAGGATATCAAACTTGTTTGATATTTTGAGCCGATCTTAGCTTTTTTACCTTTCGTCTCCTAGCAGCAAGACGCATGTATCCACACAAGTTTGTTGTGTTTGGAAAGACTTCCAAAAGTAGTGTGTGATCATCAGATCAATAGTGTACGATACCCAGTTTTAACAATCATAACTTGGCAAGAATATGATCTCTAAATCTGTTTAGATTTGAAAATTTGTGTAGTGTTTTTCAGCTTTAACTCATCACCAAGATGTCATGAGCATATGTTTGTTTCCGACAGACCTGAGAGGGTGTGGGCAGCTTATCTAAAACTAGTTAGACTCTAGGACTCTAGTTAGACAGGTTCTGAAGCACCTTTGAGTGAGTCATCTGCCAGAACAACACACCCACACCTGTTGTCTCCTTGAAAAACCACACTTCTCGTCTTATTATCTAAAAAGAAACAAAAAACACACACTTGGTTTATAATCTAGAAGTAATAAACATCACTAGATGCTCCATTGTAGGGTTAGGGTTTGAAAATTTGCTTAATTTTATTTATTTATTGGTATATTTTCTTGCCAAGGTGTTCTGAGTAACTTTAGTGCATTATCCTCTTGCTAGGGTGTTCTGGGTGGCCGGCCCTTACTAGCCCAGTTAGACAAAGCTGTAAGGAAATGAGGTGTCACTTATATTATGGCCTAATATTCAAATTAATGGTAAATCAACATGGTTTGTTCAATGACTAACTCTTAAAGGGACAGTCCAATTCTGTCATCATCACCCTCATATCATTCCAAACCTGTATGAATTTCTTTCTTCTGTGGAACATAAAAGAAGATTTTTTTTTGTTCATACAATGGAAGTCAAGGGTCACCAAAACAGTTTAATTTGCAACATTTATCAAAATATCTTATTCCACTGAAGGTTTGGAACAAATTGTGTAAACTATCACTGTAAGTTTTTACATTTATCCTCTCCAAACTTGAATATTTGGTAACATCTTTGTTTCTAGACATACCTTGGGTCCAGTCAAATCTGTCAATTAACAATAAGTTAGTAGTTGTTATTTTTTTTTTTTTACATGACATTAAAAATTACATTACGTGAACTTATTCATCACACCAAAAGCTAACTCATCAGCAGGGAACCTGAATTTAATCTGGCAAGGTCCCATATCTCTGGTGGTATATACACCACTCCCAAAAATGGAACCAATGTCTATTTACATGTCATTCAACCCATGACTGTCAAATATCTGTCACATGTTGAGTTTTTAAAATTCAAACACAGTCAAATGACTTGTGTGAGAACAGAATACCAAATATGTCACCGATAGTTCCATTGCAAATCACAGACAAGATTTGAATACCTACATATTTAACAGAAGAGCCCTTTGTAATAAAATTACAAACAAATATAATTTAAATAGGCCTACTTACACGATTCTTCGACTGAAAACGTTCATTGAGGTCAGAGGCCTGCAAGTTAAGGTCATATCACAGGCTGTCCACTAGAGGAGGCTATTCAGCTTTCTGCTCGTCATGTTGTCATTATGCTGAGGACAGCTGTCTGAGACTCCCTGCTGCATTAATAAATCAAAACACATACTGACACAGACACACACTCACACAGCGTGGAAGATCTCAAGCCAAAGAAATATTGATGATATGGAGAGTTTTTACATAGGCACACTGATTTCATTCAGATCCATATTTACAGTATCCCTTTGAGATGAGTCACAGCTTTAAAACACAGTTTAGATATAAAAAAACCCCACACTGTATATATAAATATGCTGTATATGTATTTAACAAAAATACTGACAGCCTGGAAGATCTCCAGAGAGATCTATAAGTAATATAGCATTTAATTTATCTCTTTTATCAAACACTTGATTGCCTCAAGGAGCTTTAACCCCAGTGATACAATTTCCTAACCTAGTATTAAACAGATGTAATTATTGCACTTTCAATTTCATACTCAATGCTCATTTTTACACTCCTAAAGAGGTGATTTAACCCTAATAAATCTTTAAAGCACTTCATCTGGAGAGAGGATGGGTGAAAGAAAGAGAGGTTCATGACTGCATGTTTGCAGGTAGAGAATCTATAGATGCAGATGATTGGGGGCTAATCTCCTGTCCTTTTAAAATGCTATCTCCTGTCCTTTCAAAGGGGACAGGCAGATTGAGGGGGTTGGGGGGTAAACCATCTCACACTCTCGGAAGGGGGAAGTCAGATTGTGCTGTGAATTGGGGGAGGGAACAACAACAGGTCTATGGGCCTCTTTCTGGGCTTCTCAAGAATGTTATTGGGGCTCTCTCAGTCTTGTGGTCAAATGTGAAGAAGCTCATAACTGAAATTTTACATCTCGCATAGTGTTATAATTCATCGATATTTAAAATTAAGAATAAAAAAATACCACTCCGCTTTAGCACGCTGCATTTATTTTATTCAACAAATAAAATCTGATTATTTTTTATTTTTTTCGCAGCTAAATTGCTTGATGCTTCAGCTTCACGTCTAAGTTTTTTTGGCCAGATGAGACCAGAGGTTATATAGCAGGGAACTGTCATGACAGGAAACAGCAAGCTATGAGCTAATTACTACTCTCTCTCTCTCTCTCTCTCTCTCTCTCTCTCTCTCTCTCTCTCTCTCTCTCTCTCTCTCTCTCTCTCTCTCTCTCTTTCTCTCTCTCTCTCTTTCTCAGTCTGACGAGTCTGACTCTCTCTCATTCTCCCCTCCCCCTCCCTCCCACCCACCCACCGTTCCTACCTCCCCTCTCTTTTTCCATCCCTCCCTCCCTCCTCCCTCCCTCTTTAGCACTGTCTCCTCCAACAGTTGAAATTCTACACTGGTATGCCTCAGAGATCACCATGGAGACGGGTTCGTTGCTATCTTCCATGTCTGGTCTTAAGAGGGCAGAGCACTTACAACCTCTGCAGACCACAAGAGTACGAGTGCATCCCTAAAATGCCTTTATATATATATATATATATATATATAGACTGTGAGATTATTGTTTATCATAGATCTACATGCCTAGTTTACAGTAGCTATCAATGTTTGCTTTGTCATTTATATACAGTTTGTTTATTGTGCACATGCAAAACCATCAGAAATGAACTTTTTAAAAAAATTATTTGACAATATTTGCACACTTAAAATTGATTTTCAGTTACATTTTTTACCTGTAGCCTACAAGAACATTTATTTTTAACCACATAAAAACTCAGTGTAGCCTATGGGCTATGCCACCTGGATCAAAGCATCATCAATTGTGAAATTGTGAAAAATGGCTTACAGTGCATCATAAAATCAATGCATAATAATGTCATGTCTATATATGAAATAGCCTACTTTATGTTTGTAATACAAAATACAATTTGCCACCGAAAGTGGAAAAAAAATATTTAAATGTGGAGGCAAAATTGTATACTTTATAACATCTAGGGTAGGTTTTTTTTTCACATTTGCTGGCAAATTTAACTTCGTATGCATGATGCATTCTGCGACTTATTTGAAACTTCAAGCAACTGTTCAGTTGTTTGTAGATCGTCTGTATGCATAATGTATACAGTATACGTCGTGTGTATTATGTGTATAGTAGCCTCTAAATGCTATAAACTGTGAAATGAGATGGCCAATATTATGTGTAGCTCTACATTGTTTTTTACGGTCACTGTACGGGACTGCAATGTTGGTGGACAACACGAGATTTATGTACATGTAGTAGTGAAAATAAAGTGATTTGATCTGACAGACAATTAATAAAAAGGTGTGAAGCGAACAAATAATTCGATCTCTCGTGAAGACAGCGAATTAATCACACTCAAAAATGTAAATAATGGCGTAAGCTACGTCAGCCTACTCATTAATGATAAGTGACTGTTATCTCTATGTGGTACTTGGATGAGCTAAAAATAAATGCACTGTATTTTTTTCTACGATATTGCTACTACTGCCCATCTCCTACTGGATGTCTAGTTTTCGATCTGCGGGGGTTCATGTATTTGTAGTTTCTTTTCTCTTTAGCGCTGGGTGGAATGCGGCGAGCGCCCGGATGGCAGAACTACATTACCCACAACTCCCCGCGCGCATGGTTCAGGCAGGCTTCTTTAAGCTTTGGGAGTGTTTCCCATTTAAACAAACATAGCTAATGCTGAAGATGGCGGATGCGTAGAAGTGGCTTAAAGAAACTGGAGTGTTTCACGGGATACATTTACACCGGTAAGTTAACCGAAACACTTCATCGCGATCGTAAATGGAGACGTTTAACCAATTGTTGTGTTCGTGAAACAATGTTACGTGATGCCGGTTATTCAGAAGTACATTCTTGTCCACGGTGAGGATCTTGCCACCTAGTTATTCTGCCTTTGAGACAATAATCGTAGTAACACAGTGTTGCCAGATACAACACATTCTCCAGCATGTTTGTTTACTTTTCATAACAAGATCCGTATGTGGATTTTTGTATTCTACTGCGTCCATAATAACATTTTGTCAGTAATCGACGCATTTTAACGCAGTTTTCCTAAGTTGGTGAACATTTTGAACAGGTTTGAATCTAGTCTGAGTCTTTTGAGATGAACCACAACTCAAAATAATTAAGTTTGTTTAATTGACTGTACTATTGCCGTTTTTGCTTTATATCATTTTGAGATTATTACCACAATCAATAGATTTTGTTCCTTTTAAAATCTTTGATCAGCAGGACGTTTGTTTACCAGTTTGTGGATCACCTGATAGTTTACTCACACGAGCTGAAGTTGGTTTGCTTAAGCATAACATGTTCTTAACCCTTTATCTGTCACTATCTCAAATACATATTTTGATAAATTCTTCCAACTTTTTTTCTTTCTGATTTTTCATGAAAAACTTATTGACCTTAAACGATCTGTTCAGATGTATTATGTGATGTGGTGTTATGTTATGAGGATGTTTTGTTGCTTTTGCTCTAAGTTCAACATGAAGTTCAAATAACCCAAACAACAAGATGGTTTCCTGGTTAATGACACTGAGGGTGGAGATAAATTATCATAGGTCAGCAATGAACAAATCAAAGCTAGGCATTATTTACTGTGTTTTTATGCTTTTACTTTCCTAACTGAGCTGTAATCAGTTGACAAAACAGTTCAAGGGTTAATACAATTCAAATCAGTTGACCGCTTTAGTGATGCACAAGTCAGCAGGATAACTCTTATCTTTTAGATTTTGTATTTTTTTTTTTTGTGCGTATTTATGGTGACAAAGTGTGGTGTAGGTTGTACCTACCTACTGTACTAGACGCTTGAATTATGGCTGTGTCTCAAACTCCAGTGATCAGACATGGAACGTGTACATTGTGAACGTAGAAACGTGAACGATTCTTATCAGAGTCTTTGGACACTATTTTTAACACTCCCATTCTTTGCAGTTGCAATGTTAATTGCTATGATTTAGCCTGAGGTATTCAGTGCACTGCAGCACTACTGGAAAGTTTGATGTTTTTCTGAATTCAAAGCAATTCACATTTTGTAGCGATCCAAATGCTGCAGTTTGTGAGCTAGGAGACTTTGCCCACATCCCACATTTCAAAAATATTCACTGCCCATTTATAGAAACATCACAGAACCACATTTGTATAGGACCAATGTTTACCTGAAATGCACTCATGTTGACATGTTGACACTTTGAAATATACTTTTGGTTATTATTTGCACCCTGATGATACAGGTAGAAAGCATGCTTGCACTTTTTAATAACATACTGTTAGAACCATAACTGATTTGCTTTTATTGCATCCGCAGTGTAATAGGAAATCTTCCTGATAATTAATGTTATTAAATTTGAAAACTGGGTCTGCAGCCTTTTTAGCCTCTACTAGTGCACTTATTCTCAGCTTAAAAATAGTTTAATATGAGTGTGTATTTTAGAAACATTTCCATGGATGCATGAGAACAGAACATGCATTATGCTCAGCGGTGTATGTTGGTGCTCACACGCTACGGGACCCACGGATGCCCTGACTGCGTGTGGGAAAAGACCCTCTGAACTCTTCCTCACACTAGTCGCAGGCCGCCCCCCCCTCCTTCCCCCTTTATCTGTTCCTTTCTCCGCAGCTCCCTCTCTCTCACACGCCGAGCGTCAGGCTGCATTAACTATGAATCAATCTTGTGTTGAACGCTTTGACTGCAGATGGGGTTAAGAATTAAAGGATGCATAGATTCTCTGTCCTCGTCCATTTGTTAGCTCTGGCTCTATAACTCATTAACTCGGACTCTCTCTGGGGAAGAAAAAAAATCCTTGTGCGAAAGTTTTCCCATGATATTTGAAGGACCATCTGAGTTTTGATTTGAACATCTTTTTCTTATTTTGATTTTATTGTTGTGGGTCAAGGAATAGTTAACCCAACCCTCCCCCAAAAATGATGTGCCTACATATTTTCAATGTAATGTGACTGAATCAAACGAACTTGAGGCAAAAGCACCATAAAAGCAAAAAGTATCATAAAAGTTGACCATATGACTTGTGCACGTTATTTCATGCATTGTGTTATGAAAAAAACAGACCAAAATTTAAGTTGATTTTCATTGGTCATAAACTTTAACCATTGAGTCAGTTATTTTATCATTATTTATGTGCTGTTATGGTATTTATTTAGATGTTTGTAATTTAGCTTTTAGTTTTAGATTTTTAATAATGTTATGACTTTTTTTGCATAATTTTTAAAAATATATATTTAGCCTAGCTTTTTTTTTTTTAAATTTGAGTTAATTTATTACCTCTTCAGCTTATTTTATTTCAGTAAATTTCTAAATTTCATTAAGTAAGTTTTTTTTTTTTACCAAAATTGTTTCAGTGGTCCATCAAGTCATAACAGGGTGAAACTTGGCACTTCTGGATTTGCTTTGCGGTCTTATAATCTGCTATAACCACCACTAGGGCTGCAATAAACGATTATTCTGGTAATCAGTTAATCGAGTGATTAATCGACTAATTGCCAATTATTTTGCCGGCTAATCAGTAAGTTTGGAACGATTATTCAGCTTTTTCAATTAGTTAAAACCCTTAGTTAAACATATTCTTACTATAATATAAAAAAGAAAATTACTTCAGCTTTTGAAATAGTTGTTTTAATGAACTTTGAGCCAACTAAACAGGTCATTCTCTTTAAGTTTTCAGATTTTAGTACCGCAATAGCATTTGTAAAGGGCTGCATTACACTCTAGTGCCACATCATATTGCACGCCCTTACATTAGGTCAAGTGAGATCAAACGACTACTCGACAATGCTATTTGTCGACAATTTTTTTATTGTCGACTAATCGTTTCAGACCTAACTCTATGCAAGATTGATAGTTCTAATGAGACATAAGAAAAAACTACAAATTTGACTTGCTTTACGTCAAGCGTTACAATAGTCATTATATTGTTTTTCTTCGTTTCTGATGTCACAATACATCAGACTTTCATGAAATCATGCAACATACTCTTACTCTGTGGACGTTCATTCCAAAGCTGGTGTTGGAAAGAGTGCGTGCGACAGTAGGCTGCTATATACACTAAATTATTTACGACAGCGGTAATGGACAATTCCGCTTCCAACCTGTAGGGCGACCGCAGAGGAAAAGTTACTTGGTGTTGCTTTAATAGTTTTAGTTTACCTGCGACAACAATGGTAAGTTATTTGAACGCATAGCAGTCGATTCAGCCGTGCAAAAGTCTTCAAAAGTCTATGAAACATGTTAATTATAAATATATTTGTAAGATTGTAATTTTGGAGCTTTACAGCCCTAGTCCCCATTAACATGGAAAAGAGTGACTAGAAGAATATTCATGCAAAGTTCAACTGAAGACAGAAATTAAATATGGAGGTTATTTTCATTCTTTGTTGAACTATTCCATAATGTCTAATCTATTATAGATGTGAGTTTTTGCACATATAGCCTATTTTGTGGCTTTCCTCTTGGATCACACGAGGTTGTGTCTAGCGAAACAGCAGAATGACTAATGTGCTTCCCGTCACCTTTCTGACACTTATCTGATCGGCCTAGCTCATTTAGCATTTTTCAGTCCTCGACACACGAAGAAGCTGAAACGCTGCCGTTCTCTGAGCGCGACGTGAAAATGAAAGAAGGAAAAAAGTGTGGTTGTGGCTGACGGTTATTTTCAGAGCCGGGAAAATGGTCCAGTTTATATCAAGTATCTGTGTGTTTGTTTCAAATGTAAGATTCATGGTGGGGGGTGTATAGTGTTGCTCCTAGGCGCTTGTGTTGGTGGCAGTGGGTTGAAACAATAGCTTGATTGTTGCACTAATTGAAATGTGATACCGGTTACTTGCGATGGCTTTTTGCTCTGAGTTGTTAAAGGTGTTGGTGCAGGCGGGTTATTTTAGCCCTGTAAACTTTTAATATGTAATGCGTGGCGAGGTTGACTCACATCTTGTGATGAACGGCTTGGAACCTTCAGGATATTAATGATTTACCTCAACGATCCTCCACGAAAACATTTTCATACGTAACTCTTCTGGATTTGGAGCTCACGGCATAATGTATGATAATTTGTAGGCCGTTGTAAAGTTTCCAGTTTGCTAACTAGAGAAACAAGCATAAAAGTAAAGTTAGTCCTCAGTTAAGTCTTTTTACTCGTTAATAAACAACATTTTGTGAACTTTCTCCCTTCACTCTTTAGGCACAGCTCAAGAGCTCAACTGTGAAGGTTTGTTTGTCGTATGTCAAAATTTCTGTGTGAATCATTTGGAAACTTATGAGTCATAATTAAGAGTCTCTGCATGGCATCTGCAAGCGAGTGTCGTCGTGCGCTCCGGATACATTTTACAGCTCCCCTCAGTGTCCTATAGCACAAGTCGAATTTAAGAGGAATTTGTAAGTTGCATCCAGCTGTGGCTGCTTGTGTAAAGCTGTGTTGCCATGACGACACTCCTGCACGACTGGCTCAAGGTCGTTCGGGCGGTGACGTCGAGCTGGATGTGCCTGGCGACGGCGTGTGCTCGATATGCACACATACGCGGAAGGAAGCTCTCTGCAGTACTGTAGGTGTCTGAAAGTGAAACTTGGAAATGTATGCAAACACGTTCTGTGCATGAAGACTTTCTCTTGAGAGGGTGAAAGGGCTTGAGGAGGAAATATAGTGTTCGGTTTTTTTAATTTACTCATTGCTGCCGTACTTAATTTGATGAATTTTCCAGCCCAGTTTCTGATTTCTCCATGATCCGTCATTGTTTTCCT